GGTTGTAGACTTTCATCGACTCAGGGGTTGGGAAATATCTTACACATGTCTAGTCACCGTCTGCCTCGTCGCACAACCTTGGCATGCTAGACTCAAAATTAATGGAAATAACTGTTTTGTTTTAGTGTCTGGGCATTTCGAATAATACACACATGAATTAGGAATAATGAAAACGTGCAAGCCAATTAATTTTAGATAAATGAAGTGTGAAGATGAATAACCACTGATTAAAACTACATACAACGAACCAAAATTTTTGTACTCATTTCAACTCAACTTCACAACAAAACGCTACGAAAGAAAACCATGATCACATTTCGACATCTAAACAAACCTTTTGTAAAAATATTTACCTAAGAATAATCTGAATCATCAACCTGCGTAATGTAACAAAAACAACGATTTTAGTAAAAGTAATAAAAACTTGTCAACTCTCAAAATCTTCAAAAAAATTAAATTACTGAAGTATTTTCTGAAGGTATTATTTTAAAACGTTTACGCATCCCAACTGAGCTCAGGTATATAATTAACAGAAGATCTTCCGAATTTGTAGTCTGTTTCAAAATCTTAACAGTTGGTAACTAATATAATCTCTAGGTGCTATAACGACAGTCAATCTTATCACCTAACCAAGGAAAGAACAAAGAGCAGTTGTACAAGCCTGGTGATATTACAGAAAATATGCGATGAGTAAAATTGACGATGCTATTATGGCTTGAAAATTGCCAACAACTTCATGTGATGAAGTAATCACTTTAAGAAACAGAAATCCCTTCTGTTCTGAAGTCCCAAATAGTTTTTAAACCATTTCTACCAAAGCCCTGATAACCGCGGAAATGGGAATTTACGATATAGTAGCGGAGGGCATAATAAAATACGTGTTTAAATAACAATACACGAGGGATGAGCTGTAGGTATTTAGCCACATAGTTGGTGATGTGATTCGTCAAATCAAGCATTTGACTAACAAACAATGGGGCTTGTATTTAAATCCCACTGCATGCAGGAGAGGTCATGTACTTTCATAAACCCTTATACATATGCGGGCCATAGCCTGGTACCTGAACGTGTACGGAATTGAGTTGTATTTACTGACTTTTTTAGCGACAAGTCCTATTGTAACCACTCATCCTAGCGATTAGAATAATTTTGTAGTTCTTTTTCCGGTTATTTTTTCATAGTTTCAGGGGCACTGAAGTCAAAATTGATTCACAATCAAAAAGTTTTCGGATGTTGCCACGGAAATAGGAATTAAAAAGTAATGAAAGGCTTACTCCATCACCGCCATAGAAGAGATAGCTGTTTTGTGATAATCGCTTTCCTGTCAGTCTTGTGGAAGTCATAAGACCAGAGACGACGGCCACAGCAGAGCCTGGAACGATGCATAAATAATAAGATTCAGTAAACTGACTAACTTCACCATTCATCCTAACTGAAAGACAGTTATAAGGTTGAGTTACCATCCGTTTTCATGGTCAAATACCCGTAACTAAACAGCGGCGAATGCTATTCAGCTGATGTTCTTCTATATGGTAGGAGTCGACTAACAGTTAGTTAAATCAGAAAACTGCCAAATCAATATTAGTCAATTCACAGATACGTGTAAAACTTGGGCACTGTGGTAGGAAGTAATTCCATATTAGACGTTTATTTGATATAGCACGCAGTGATACAGTATTATTTAATTGATGAAATTTTGAGCATAAGTTATTACTTATAATCATATCAATGTAATCACACCACTTTCGACGTCTAACTTTCATAGTCCTATCACTTCATACTCTTTGTTTTTAGTGGAAGTAAAATTTTCCACATCTCTGGTAGAGTTGTCCCATCATTCCTATTACATATATTGGGAGTTGATTAGATGAACAAAGATTCAGTAATCAATCTCTCCTTCTCCACTTAAATTTTATTGGACTTAATTAAGTTCGGTGGTTTTATTGCACCTTGTTGTGTGTTCATGTATGCATTGCAATAGCCGAGTTCTTTTTTCTAGATTATCAATCCTGTTGGTGTCAGTTATTTTATATATGGTTAAGCTGCTGTGTACTGATAATCTAACTGACCCCGATAAGTTAGTTTGACATATTAACTTAACCTCACAGTCATTGCATGGAATTTAATAGATAAGGTTATTTTGATCAATCTTATTTTCAGTGTTCATTGTGTGGAAAACGAAACTATTCCTAAATATCTTCGCTTATGTATTCCAATAGCTACTAAGAAAATCAAAGGAGCAATAAACGTGTTAGTAGACTCTTTCTTAAAGAAGAAATCCACAGAATTATTAGGAAGTTGAGCAACATCTGGAATCAGAGTGAACAACTAAAATCTAAACTCATGAAGACAGTAAACAGCAGAGACTGAATTTCTATTTGAAACAACAGATAAAGCAAGATCAGCTACTTTCAAGAGATCCAAAAACAGTCACATCAAAAAGTTCGAGAAATCAAATAGGGAAAAGTATCCTTGGAAAATAATCACAATACAAAAGAAACATCATCAAATATCACTAGAACAGGCTTAAGCCCAGCTGAAACGAAAGCATCAGAAAAAAGACTAAACTTCAACTTGACAGTAAGTTATCTAAACCCGAAGATGTCATACCTAACATAAAAATGGCACTAAGCTTTATAGATGCTGCAGCCGCTTAATAAGCCAGAGCACAGTGTGCATTAGCACTAAAAAAACAAACGAAACTAGAGAATTCAGCTCTACATAATCTACGAAATGACCAAAAGAAATCGGCAAATCTAATAAAAATAATTCAACAGTAGCTATGGACAAATAGAATTATCTCAACAAAATTGACGAACATATGTGCGAAAAGAAATTGAGACACCTACAGACACTGTCATGAACGAAATTAGGAAATCCATGGTCCATCTGATACGCTGACTGAAGCCATCTGTAGGTGAGTGCAAATGGTTTAGTTTAATGCCGAAAGCTAGCAGAATTCATGGTACTATTAGGTTCCATAAACGAGGTTATCCCATTACACCGGTAGCTGACTTCCTCACTATCACAACATATGAATTATGAAAGTGCTTAGCATCAATATTATGTCCTATTAGGAACCATTCAAAATCTAGGCTAGCCAATTTTTACAAGTTAAAACTACGACTTAGAAGGAGACCTCAGTGTTTGCAAGAACTGGCGAGGAATCACTCTCCTGTCCACCCTAAGTAAAATATTATGCCGCATCATCCTGGACAGACTATAGGATGCACTGGATTCAAAACTACGACCGGAACAGGCTGGCTGGATTCAGGAAGTACAAATCATGTGCGGACCAAATTGCAACGCTTCGCATCATCATAGAACAGAGCATAGAATGGCAATCAGCTCTCTACCTCAACTTCATCGACTTTGAGAAGGCCTTTGACAGCGTCGACCGAGAAGTAATTTGGAAACTGCTTCAATACTACGGAGTACCGCAAACCTTTATCCGCCTCATTCAACAACTATATGAAGATGCCACATGACAAGTAATTCACAATGGGAAGCTCAGTGATGATTTTGAAGTGAAGACAGGAGCGAAACAAGGTTGCCTACTATCCCCCATGATATTCCTTATTGTGGTCGACTGGATCATGCAGCAAACAGTGGGGAGCGAGAAGGGGTGGACACGCTGGACTGCGGAAAAGAACCTGGAAGACTTGGATTTCGCCGATGACTTGTGTCTGATGTCACACAAACTTGAAGATCTACAGGCGAAAACTAACAAGTTGGCAGAGGAGGCAGAGAAGATGGGACTTCCTTTCAGGTGAATATAGAGAAGACAGAAGTGATGAAGATACCGCACCAACAACAACAACAAACTCCAGTCACCATGAACGGGAGAAACTTAAAGGAAGTAGTCTCTTTCACCTATCTATGTAGCACTGTTTCAACTACAGGCGGGACAGACGAGGATGTCAAAGTCAGAATCGGAAAAGCAAGACAGGCATTCATTAGCCTGAAACCAGTGTGGAGATCTTCTGCACTCAGCATGTGGAACAAGATACGGATTTTCAACACCAACGTCAAGTCAGTGCTTCTGTATGGCTCAGAGACTTGGCGCGTCACGAAAGGGATTTCCAATAAACTACATACATTCATCAACAACTGCTTGCGCTGGCTTGCTACTGAAGATCAGATGGCCAGAATAATGAGAATAAGCAACAAGGAACTCTGGGAACGAACCAACCAAGAACCTATCACTCAACAAATATGCGGTGGAAGGAAGTGGAGATGGATTTGGCATACACAGAGAAGGCCGACTGGAAATATTACGCGTCAGGCCCTCGAGTGGAATCCCCATGGCAAGTGACGAGTTGGACGTCCCAGCTGAGGGTGATATGGAGGAGATCGTATGAGGAGGAAATGAGAGCTTATGGACTATCGTGGAGACAGGTTGAAAAGATTTCAGAGAACAGAGTTCACTGGATGCGTGCTGCTGAAGCCCTATGTTCCACTAGGAACCCAAGGGACTAATAATAATAATAAAACCAGTAAATTGGATTATATTTGTAAGATAAACCAATGATGAAATAACAGTTTGTTCATTAGTCGTTTCAGGGACATTACGTAAATCATTTATCTTTTTATCTGAGGTTTACACCATAATCTAACTAGCAAAGGTTTTGGGCTATCGTATAATAAATAATGAAGTGAACAATTGCGAAGAGGTGTGTACAAGTTTACTGACCGTAACTCGAAGTGATAATAGCGGTCGAGTTAAATGATTAGGAGCTGAATGCCAAAGTCAGCTATAGCCTCGGGATATGCATGAGTCATTACCTAATAGTTAGCAGTGAAGAATACCGTAAAAGTCAGTTAAACAAAGAATTAAAGTCAGCCACAAAGAAAGCAGTAAATCGTTTGAGTAAATGCAAAACAACAACACAAAATACCTCTAAAAGCCTTTTGTTGTTCGTACCAACATCCAACATTATAGGCAAACAATGAAGGGGTTGCACACCTCCCAAGGCCACGTAAAGAATAGCTTTGCTTAACGGAATAGCCATCCCATTAGCACCTAAATCTCCGAATCCCAATATGCGTTCACCATCAGTCATGACCACTGCCTATAATGAATATGCATAACCTTTGGTATTCTGAAGTTACCTTGATTGTGTCAACAGGCCAATTTTTTAATAAAGCAAATATATGCCCGCGGTCCCGAATAGTTATATAAAGACCGCTAAAAACATTATAAAAACAGCAACTTACGTGGTCTTCGAAAGACAAAGCCAAAATTTAAGCACGCTGAGCCTACGGTTGGAGTATAAATGAGTGGCAAGCAATATTCCAAGTGCTTCCGAATAGTCTGGAAATTAGTTGCGTTACGTTATTGTTACTTTGTAAAACAATTTTTCATTGAGATCCTGAAGAGACATGAGCATCATGTAACGGCTAAGGTTATCATCCAATTGATAAAGGTTAGCAATAATTCGTTGCTCTTCCAAGTCTTGGTTCTGAAAACTCGGCGGCAACAATCCATGTATGCCCAGGAGTTGACGTTCGTGTAAGCCATACCAGGAGCCCTAAAAACGTTAGCTTTCATATAAAAGACAGCAAACTTTATTTGTCCGAGGATCCCGTAAAATGTCGATCCCTCGACTTTTCAGACGAGGTGCATTTCGAATCAACGAGGGCAGATAGCGATAACTCATATCCACACTATTCTTTAGGAGATATAACGTTAAGGAAGAATATGAGGCTTAGGAAAACAACCAAAACATTAACAGCGTTCAAAACCAAAGTATCTGATAGAGGAATAATAAGGGATGGAACAATCATCTAAAGTAAGTGTGTATGTGCCAATAGGTCAGTTAACAACCAGAAAATTTCAAATTAAAGAACAAAATTATTGGCAACCAGGTAGCTGCTTTTTATATTTTTAGCATCCCAAAAAAGTTTCCGTTTTATGATAAAGTCAAAATGCTAGCACTTCTCATTGCCCTAACACGTCTCACCTAATTTGTGTTCATTTCAACTAATAGCTTCTACCAAAACGTAGTGGTTCGGCTTGCCTAACAAAATAATCAAACGAACTTTATTACCTAAAAAGATTATTTCTAAGCTAGTCGTTAGACTAGAAGTAGTTACAGGCAGTCCACATAACTTATGATATAGTAGAGTTGTGCGGAGTGTGACAGTAATAAGCTGTTTTACACGGTGACCAGCATTTTATGTTTATGTTGCGCTTTCTTATTCGAAGAAGATTAGAAAAGGCCGGTCTTGAAAGCAATTCACTTCAACCGCGTTCTTTCGTTTACAGTGGTAAGTGGTTTTCTAGACCAGACGTAACAAAATGAATTCTAGACCAACTTCTCCGAAAGAAGACTGTATATGACCGGCTTCAAGCAGATGTCCGCTGGACTTAGAGGGTACGCGGAACCAATTTAATTCTTCTGCCAGATAATTCATGAAGATATCAACTTCCATGACGTGCGCAGCGAGGAAATATGAACAATCCGAACCTTTTGAGCATCTAACCTCAAGACTAGTAACACGGGCCATGGATGTGTGCCGTGTTTACGAAACTCGCATACAGGACCCAAGTGTGGTTATTCACCTGACCTCTCCCGGCCAATCTGGTGAATCCACAAAATTCACTCTTCGAGTTTCTGGAGATTCGATAGCTAGCTCTCAGAGTCTTGCAGGTGTAGGCACAGCACTAAGCACTAGGGCAAAAAACTCGCTAGTAGGCTAGATCCCACTTGATAGTCGCCACTGCGCTATCCGACTGAACGGCACAGTGAGAACTAAAAGGAACAGTGAAACTCGCCGTTGTCTCTTTGTAATCTCTGCTTACGCATGCACTGACTTTAGTTCTGAAGTGAAGGACGAGTTCTACCGTAAACTGTCTAGCTCCCTTCTGAAAGCCAAACGTTTGGACGTGGTGGTTGTTGCAGGTGATTTCAATGCATAGGTGGGTAGACCGAGTGAGGCAGAAAGGCACTTAGGTGGCACTTTCGGAATCCCAACTGAACGTAGAGATAACGGCGATCGCCTACTACAACCGTGCTCGGATAACCGCTTACTTTTTAGTTAGCACAAATTTCAGACTTAAAGAAAGACACTGTCTGACCTGGCGTCCACCGAGTTCAACTCAGCAATGGACAAAAATAGACCACATTGCTATCAGACATCGCTGGAGAGGATCAGTAGAAGACTGCCACTCCTTCTGGAGTACATTTTAAGATAGCGACCATACATTGGTCCGAGCGCGTATATCCCTGCGTCTCAATGGACGTAGGAAAAATTTGGCAACAAAACCATTACGAGTGCAGCTCGACAACGAAAACACCAAAGCCATATTCAGTGAGGAATTGGTTAGGAAGTTATCGGAACAGAAGACTATCACCTATCCAGAAGAAGCTTGGTGCCATCTTCAGTCTGCTGTAAAAGCAGCGCTGAAGACCGTAGCTGACTCCAAAATAGTGGCTAAAAAGAACCAGTAGATATCAGCAGCTTCTTCCGAACTAATGGATGAACGTGAACACATCCTTGCAGGCTCTGAATACAATAAAGAGCGAACGCAACTTAAAAGTAGACTGAGTAAAATTCTACGCAATGACCGCAATCAGTGGTGGGCAGCGAAGGCTAAAGAGATGGAAAAGGCAGCGGGGATTGGTAACAGTCGATAGTCATTTAGACTTATCAGTGAAACTGGGGGGAAAGGTCAACTGCGGTTAGTGAGATTATAGCGGAGAAGATGAGTCTGTGATTCACTCGCAGGGAAGACTACTGAAACGATGGACAGAACACCTCGAGGAACAGTTAAAATGGCCTCCAGCCACCATTGCGTTGCCCGATATCCAGTCGGATCCTGAAGGGAACATTGCATGGAAAAGCTGTAGGTAACCTGGAACGAAGAAGAGCAGCAGGACCAGACGGACTAACTTCTGAGGTATACAAGGATGGTGGTAGAGTGCTCTCAGCCAGGTTAACGGAAGTATTAACTAGTATATGGGAATCAAATACGATCCCCTCTGACTGGTCTAAGTCACCCATTGTTCCAGTGTTCAACAGAGGCGAGAAGTCCTCTTGTGATAACCACAGAGAAATCAGCCTGAAGAAGGTAGTATCAGAAATTCTAGGTTCTATAATTGTTCTACGCCTGAGTAGAGTTCGGGAACAGCAAGTCCGAGAAAACCAGGCAAACTTCAGAAACGGCCGCGGGTGCATCGACCAAATATTCACAAAGCACCAGGTTCTGGAACATAGGCACGCCTACCAACGTCCGACACTGGCTGTATTTCTCGACCTGAAGGCGACATTCGACTCCGTCGATCGAGAAGTCTCATGACAATGTCTCTCACTGAAAGGCGTGCCGAGTAAGTATATCACCTTATTGAAGGCTCTCTACTCGAAAACTTGTGGACGTGTTAGAGCCCATGGTAAAATGTCCGGGAGCTGTGCTCGTCGAGTAGTGTCCGTCAAGGCTGGCCACTCTCTCCATTTTTATTCAATTTTATCATAGATATTCTTATGAAGGTCTCCCTCTCGTCACCTGATTACACAGAGGTTGACCCAATCGCGGGAGAATTTTCGTTAGACCTAGAATACGTAGATGACATAGCCCTGTTAGGTGAAGACGCTGACAAGATGCAGAGTATTCTGGACCCTTTGAGTGTTAATTTGAGAGGCAATTTGAGAATTTTTGGGATGCATTTCTCACCACGTAAATGCAAATTAGTGCTCCAGGATTGGTCTTCAGCGGTGCCTCGGCTAACAATAGAAAGCGCAGTGGTTTAGTGTGTCGACCACTTCGCTTACCTGGGAAGTCGGATGAACCCTGGTGGCCCAGCGGACGAATACAAAAGGCCCAGATGGCTTTTGCCAAATTACGCCACCTGTGGCACCGCCGTAATATCCGACTGTGTATTAACGGTCGCGTGTACTGTACAGCAGTTTGCTCTGTTCTACTGTATGGCTGTGAAACATGACCATTGAAGGTGGAAGACGTGAGAAGGTGTCAAATGTCTGACCACCGTTTCCTCAGTAGTATAATGCAGAAGTCAGCCATAGAGTTCTACGGAGAATAGGTGAGTCATTTGACTAGGTTGTGGAGCTTCACCGACTGAGGTGGTTGGGACATGCGTTCTGTATGCCTAATTGCCGTCTGCCTCGTAGAACAATGTTGGTCGAAGTAGGCCCAGGCTGGAAAAAGGCTCAAGGTGGCCAGACCAAAACGTGGCATCAATGTATGAAGTCTTTGACTGTTGGTTTGAGCCATGTGGGGCGATGCAGACTAGCCGGTTGGGTACCGCAGGACAAGAGGAAGCAGTGGTTGGAGACTAGGTGATATGGCTCAGAAACGATGTCTGGCGCAGACGTATACACACATTATCCTCATCTTAACGCTATACCGAATCTCACCATTTCCTCATTCTTCCTTTCTCGCCTTTAGTACTTTATATTTCTTTTGACTGAATTTTCTTTTCTTCCCCTTCCACTTCACTGCCTTTTTACTTGATGTACTGATATGGGCTGTGGCAACCCGAACCGTTACATAGTAGTGCCTGGTTTGTATGGATGGATGGATCTAACCTCAACCTTTCTGGCCTATCTCTCTCGCTCTCTTTTTATCAGCTACGTGCTCTCACTAAAAAAATTAAACACCTTATATTTTTTTTACAACTTCTCACCCATTACGATTTCTCTCCATCTCAGCGCGAAACCACACTGCTAACTTCACATTGAAAATCCCAACATCAAGGTACTACGTGAAATCAGAAAGCATGCATCACTTGCCAAAAATCTGGAATATTAAGCCATAGATTTAAGTTGTATTTCTGAGATTTGAATACAAGAAAGTAAGGATGATTAGCAGACTATAGCCAAAGCAAGTCTATTTCCGACAACTCTTACGAACTGATTGATGTAAGGAGGCTCATTACGAGGAACAAAAGTAGCTAAGATATAAACCGGCGGATACTCATCGCAGTGACGACGAGCAGCGGTGGGTGAAGAAAGTACAAGAGATCAAGAAAACACTTGGACTTGATGACACTCATCAGTTCTTTGGCTTATAAACTAAACCAGCAGAGACGACGATCAGTGAGAATATTACCGAGAAGTATAGATACTTGGCAACTTTTTACGGTGCATTTTCAATAACAGTTTCACTGGTCTACAACTACACTCTAGTTTTCCAACAGACAACCTGAACTTGCATGGGACGTATAGGTGATTCCTTTAAGTCTCATTGAATTTACGAAGGTTGTTTCAGATCTAATGATGTTAGAACCTGATGGTTTTTTTAAGGACAAAGATAGAAACCCACTGAGTAGATATAACAAGTGAGCTACAAACTTGGGCATGGAGATCACAGGTAGTCTCGTCACACCCTTCTTGACCGCCGACCATTTCAGTCTATAAGAAAGGATAGAAGTTTTTATGTGGTAATAACAGGGAAATCAAATTGACTAGCACCATATTCAAGATCCTATGGTTTATAATTATCCAACACCTAAATGCGGCTGTAGAACAAACCCAACAAAAAAACAGGTCTCAGACAGCTGACTTCGAAATACAGAGATACCTAACGGGGTCTGACACTCTCCACACCTCTTTTCCCGAATACGCTATTCGATTCCCTCTACACAGAAGTGTTGTAGCAGTGTCCGCATGTTGGTAGATTAACTAATGCTACCTACTCGAACTCACACGGTTG